TAATTGGAGTATATTAGTATATATGTGAAGCTTAGTTCAGGCAACTATCAAATATGGGTGCTGCTTTCAGTGTATTTGATCTTTTCCTAAACTTATAAAAGATTAAACGCACTTATAAAAGCACTTTTGAAACAAACAAATGGTGAATGCCTTTTGATTGTTTGCTACAAATGCTGAGTGATTGCTGCTGCCAGTAAACCTCAAATATTTATGAATATATGCAGGTGTTGGGGAGAATTGACAACATTTTGTCTTGAAAGTGAAGCTAGCACAGTGATGAGTTAGTGCAGGGGTGTCAAACTGCCAGCCCGCAGGCCAGATGCATCATAGCAAAGCCATGCCCACCCCATTGCCGCCAATGGCAAAACGTCGCGATATGTCACGACATGTCACGTGACGTTGCGAGTTTGACACCACCGGGTTAGTGCTTCAATGAAATTTATGAATTTCAAGTAATTTGATGGATTAATTCAAATAATGACATGAAATCTGATTGACAAATTTACTAAATCAAATTATTGAATACTAATAAAGTTATCTTGTAGGAATAAGCTGTCATATTCCTTCCTCATTTTTATATTCGTCCTTAGAAGAAGTAATTGAATACAGTTACCTTAGATCAAATATTTTATAAGCTTTTCAGAAGTTGTTACATCTGAAAAATATGTGTATTTTTAAAAATGATATGCATCACAGAGTTCATTGAGCAAAGAAACAAATGTAATATGTTCAATTCATTCCCAATGTACTAAAACACAAGCCATACCTTTAACACAGTAAATTTATTAATCATTTAGGTAAATTTACCAGAATATTGCAAGGGCAATTTGTCACATGGAGTTTGATACCTACTGATAGGAATATAAATCTTATTCAACTGGTTTGATTATCCCGCTCAAATATAATAAAGTTTAAATGTATTATGTGGCCCTATGGTTTTAAACTATGGATTTCTCATAGCTTTCACTGGACGTATTTGGCTTTCAAATTTCAGAATGTCCCCTATCTTTACTGTCATGGTCATTCTCACCCAACTTGTCCCTGTCTATTTCTTACTCACTTTTGCATCAATTATCTGTTTGAGATGGAGAAAAAAAAACCTAGATTTTAAACGTAAGTAACATGTCTATAGTTCATTCAGAATTTCTAACACTTGAATATTAGTATCTACAGGAGCAATTTTCACTATAACAAATGCACCAAAACATTGTTTACAACCTGCATTTTATTTCAATATAAAGAATAGGATTGTTTTCGGGCCCCATTTATGTATTGTCATAACATCTGGCATTTCTTACTGCTAAAATTGCAGTTGCTTGCTTTTATTTATTTAGGATGGTTTTCATTAACTTTCCTTCCTCCTTTTAGGTTTGAAAATGGAATAGAATGACAAACGCCATATAATAGTTGCCTTGCTTCAATATTTGCACTCAATTTCTTCATCCAAAGAAGTTATCCCAGGCTGAATCATTTGGATATCGAACTAGAAAGAACGGCTTTGAAATAGATGATTAAACAACTGGAGAGATGTTTGTTTTAGCATCCTTTTAAAAAAAGACTGCCATCTTTTAAATGAAAATCCTGCTCTGTGGGATGAGGTAGTAGGTTGTATAGTTTTAGGGTCATACCCACCACTGGGAGATAACTATACAGTCTACTGTCTTTCCTAAGGAAGCAGATAATCATCAATATCAGTCTGGTTTTATTACTGAAACTGTACTTGCAGTGGTAGATAATGTACATAATTGAACATTATTTCAAGGAAGCAAAGTGAGCAACAGGGAACTTGCACCAGTGTCATATTTAATAATACTCAGAGTTGAGCCATGGTATGGGGGACTTGAGAGGGAAATGACTCATGCAAAGGTAATTAAAAAAATGTTTGTGTTCAAATTACTTTTGACCAGCTGTGGTAGTAGTTTTCTATTCCTAGTACCTGTTTTCCATAGTTCAAAATGCCTGCTCCTTTTTATATAGCCTTGATGCGGGGGATATGTGAAACAAAAGTTTCCTGGTGCATTTTAGAATCAAATTCAAAGGAATATTCTCTGAACAAATGTACTTTCTAAATATATTTCTCTTATCAGGTTGAGGTAGTAGATTGTATAGTTGTAGGGTAGTTATTTTGCCCTCTTCAGGAGATAACTATACAATCTATTGCCTTCCCTGAGGAGTAAAAATTCTACAGTATTCTTAATGGATTATTTGTAGTTTGGCTTAAAATAAATTACAAGTGTCTTTGTTTTTACTGGCAAATTATGTACATGAGGTTGTAAGAATCATTTGCTTTTATCTACTGAAAGATACTTCATGAGGGATAGAGTATATCTGTTATGTTTGTATATTTATGGTCTTACTGAATATCTATTTCAAAACTACATTCTAGGGAAGCTGAATTGTACTTTAAGAAAGTAACCATTGTTTTGTTTTAGATGGACTGGGGATATACGTGTGTATAAATGATTTCATATATCAAAATATTTAACATTTAAGGATGTTTCCTGTTTACCACAAACGAACAATGGTAATGAACCTGCATGTGTTTTATACTGCATAATCTTTAAAGATGTGCATAACTTTTCACAATGACTTCTTTTCTTTTAGAAGAATTACAGAAGAAATGGTGGGGTTCCTAGGAAGAGGTAGTAGGTTGCATAGTTTTAGGGCAGTGGTTTTGCCTATAAGGAGTTAACTATACAACCTGCTGCCTTTCTTAGGGCTTTAATATCACAACAGGATCATAGTTGGTCGAATGACATGCTCCTAATCTTAAGTTATTGTATAAGTTTGCAAGATTTACCATTACATTTTTGTCCCTTGAATCAAACCAATAATGCAGAGGTTCTTTAAACTGCCTTGATGAAACACTTTTCCCTTTCCCAGAAGAATGCAGGAACCAAAAAAGAAAAATGTACCTGCATACTAGGGAGAAGTGTGGTTGTGATTTCAAACTCATTTTAAGCCTAGAACTGTTGTTATATGTTTGTAATGTTCATAATAAAATATAAATTCAGTCCAAGAAGAAATTATTTTGAGATAGCTTATTGTGTTTCTTATGTATTCACTTCTAATATTTTTCTGGTTTTATCTTCTACAAATGTCTTTAATATTTTAATAAAACCTCTATATTTGTGTTGGTATGCCTAAAGCAACTGTGTTCTAGGTAAAGGAGATTGAGATTCGGTCTTCATATCAGAAGAATAACTTTCCTAAAATTGTACAGAACAGGACTGTAGAAGGTGTTGGAAAAGAACCAGATTCCTCCCACCCCATCCTGCAAAAACAAACAAAAACAGTAAAAATGGGCTGAATCAAGCCAGGGAGAAAAAAAGAATCCCAAATTTTGTTTCTCCCAATGTATTCGTCTGGGAAAGACAATTGGACAGTGTCTTGAAATGTTGTCAACTGCTCCATTCTAAGTCTCTCCCCTCCTGGTTCATTCAGCCCGACTCCTGGTTCCCAGTGCAGAATGTAAACGTGCAAACAGAACACAAGAGGAGAACAGAAACCCAGGAAACATAAGCACCTCTTTTCAAGCTCACATAGCTGGTAAACTCAAGGAACAAGAGCCAAGCAAATTTCAGAAAGTGACTGAAAATACCATTAAGGATAAAAGCATAATCTTAAAAACTATAAAAATAAGTTCCCAGTTTAAAAACACACAAAAACCCTAAAAGTATTACCCACAGCAAGCCATTTCAGATAGAATCTTGGATTTTTTTCCCTCCCACAACCCCCCGCCCCCCTTGACCGGCCTGCCTCTTGTACCTATTAAATTATTGTTCATACAGTTTCTCATATCTCTGACTAGATTCTTACCCATAACGGAAGCAGTATGTCTGCATGTAGGCACAGCGTGTTACTTTGCTACATTAAAAAAAAAACATGTCTCCTAAGATCACTGGTGTTAAAGATTTGGAAAGAATTCCAAATATTTTCTTGATGATCCTGTTCAATATATGCAATTATTAAATTAGAATTTCTTAAAGAACACTATAAAATATATCTACCTCTAGTGCAGTGGTGGCGAACTTATGACATGGGTGCCAGAGGTGGCACTTGGAGCCCTCTCTGGGCACACGTGCCATTGCCCCAGCCTTGCCTCCCCGTGCGACCCCCTCCTCACTAGCAGCCCCCCTGGAGGAGTCGCCCCTGAGCATGGCCCACGTGGAGCAGCGCAGCCAAGGACATGGCAGCCAGGCAGACTCTGCCCTCACGCCCCATCGCACACAGTTGATGCTGTGGGGCGTGGGTAGAGGTCGTGGCCGCCATGGCGCTGCTGGGCTGCCTGGGCAATCTGTGGGTCCTGGAGGCGGTGAGTGGCCCTGCGGGCAGGCGGGGTTAGGGGTGGGGGCGGGGCCAGTTTTTGGGCACTCGGTCTCTAAAAGGTTCACCATGACTGTTCTAGCTGAACTGCCCATCTTTGTTTTCTAAGAAAGCTGCTGTTTTTATTTAGATACCATAGGTCCATGGTGGCAAACCTATGACACGTGTGCCACAGGTGGCAGGCAGAGTCCTCTCTGTGGGCACGCGTACCATCGCCCCAGTCCTAGGCCTTCAGCTGGGTTTTACAAAACCTTTTCGCTTTAGGCCGCCGCCTCCGTGTGCAAAAAAAAGAGTTCTATCAATCAATTTCAACTCGCGAAAAAAAAAAGATCTTGCAAAGTTGGAACTGATTGATTGAAATTTTTAGCCCCACCCAGTCTGACATTAGCACCGCAGCCAGCCCACCCAATGGGCCATATCCCCTAATGGGCCACGCCCACCCAGCACCTGATGATACATAAGTGGGTTTTGGGTTGCAATTTGGGCACTCGGTCTCTAAAAGGTTCGCCATCACTGCTCTAGTACATAACCTTTGGTGATCCCTATGAAATGATTTTTGAAATACACATTGTTCATGCAGCAAACAGGTTATCTGCTTATTTATAATGACATTTAGTCTATGAAGTATTTTTCCACAATGTACAAAAAACTTGGAGAATATAATTTATACTGTATATTCAGAAATAATGTTTAGAAAGTAGCATTTATTAATGGAAAAATAGAAAAAGCAAAACAAGCATATGTAAACACAGAATGTAAAATTATACACACACACATCTAAGGTATAAGGTACATTTAATAAAGCTAAACAAAGCTCTTGTAGGTCTTTTTCAAGTCAAGTGGAATTTAGTCAAATTGGTTATTGAAAATGTAATTGATCACTTCAGTCAATTAGTTGTAGTGGTTTCAATCATGCTTCTATTATCATTTGAGTTGGACAACTTGGTGGATAAGATTTAGAGTGAAACAAGTGCACAGAACTCCTACAGATGAAAGGAATATGCTCTTAAAATGTCTTTGCCATCAATTCCAGCCACTATTCCAACAATACTGACATCATCGCATGTCACAGATCTGAAGCCACTATGAATGAAATATTTGCGTTGTACTTGGTTAAACAAGTCAGATTGAAATAATTCAATATGTAAAGTACAAGAAATCAAACTATGGACCCAGGTTTTACATGGAACAGAGTATTTCTTTGCAGGCTGAGATATACTCCAAAGCCTACATCAGTTGGCTCATTGCATGATACACTACACTTGGTTCTGTAATTTGCAATTGGAAAGTTTATCTTTGAGTAATATACTTCAGTGTGGTCTTCAGATACAAATACTTGTGATTATAAAAAAATATGTTAAAGAATTTAAAAATATACAGAGATTACTTGATATATCAAGGCTATTCTTAACCTGCTAATGCTTGGATAAATTGGTGAGTAGGTATCACCATAAAGAAAGGAAAAGCGGATCTCCCACACCCTGTTTGAGATATACAATAAGAAATTAAACATTTTTAATCCGCCTTTTAAAGAGAACACCATGGTTAATAATTAACAAATCAGGTTAAAATATTCTCTAATCAGCCTGAAAGGGTCAGATGAGGTTTCAAAGCTGAATAAGAAAAGGAAATTTTCAACCTGCATGTAACAACTTGGGGACGAATGGAGGAATTTCTCTGTGCAGAAAGCCTGCATGAATACACAAAAGACTTCTCTGCTACATCTTAAATAGACAAGTTCAGGCAGGAGAAACTGTCAACTAGTTATACGGGAGTTCTGAACAAGATAAATTGCCAGTGGGTGCTCAATACTATAATCACATTTGAAAAATACTAAATGAAATGTTCACACTGTCACTAGGCCGTTAAAATGCCAACAAACCGTAACAGTTTTAAAAAGATGAAACTTACCTTGACCATCTGTGAGATCCTCCCAATAAATGATAGCAACTTGTCAACAAAGAGGATTTGTTATTTTTCCAGGAGTACACACGGAGTGAAAGGTCCATGGAAGATGTCACGACATGAAAAGGATCCTGGGGTAGGATGGAAAGTTGTTTAGTTAAATATACCTAATACTTATGCAGAGCAGAAAGTAACAACTACTCAGGTTTTTTTTTTTAGCAAAATAATAGACTAAAATGTCTGTAAATGAGGAAGAGTCACTATACCACCCAAATAGATGTAATAATTTTATGATGATCCTTGAAAGCCATCAATACAGTCCCACTCAGAGAGTATACTGTCAGTTCTGGTCCAGCTGCTATAAGAAGGGTTTGTTTGCCAAATCCTTTCATATTTATCATCTGCTGTTGGGCTGGCAGTGTGAAGCTTGCAACCTGTTGAGCTTTTGCATAAAAAGAATATAGCACTCATTCTTGTATCATATAAACAATCAAAATCTGTATTCTATTTCACCCAAATGTTCTTTGTCATATTGATCAGGAGTTCTGAGAATTGCAATCCTGACACTGCCAAATAACATCAAAGATGGGAAGACAGTTTCACTTGATAACATTATTTTATTAATTTTATTTATATCTTGCCTTTATTATTTTTTTATAAATAACTCAAGGCGATGAACATATCCAATAATGCTATTTTCCCCACGACAAAAACTCTGTGAGGCGAATTGGGCTGAGAGGGACAGGCCCAAAGTCACCCAGTCTTCTGGCATAGCATGAGCAATGGGATTCATTCCTCCAGAGCAGGGGTTCTCAACCTTGGCAACTTTAAGACTTGTGGCTGAGGAATTCTGGGAGTTGAAGTCCACAAGTCTTAAAGTTGCCAAGGTTGAGAACCCCTGCTCCAGAGACATCTTGGTGGCTACCACTCACCAGAGTCTCTACACTTGGGACATAGGGCTGCCCCAAGAAAGTCCATACCACCAGCTGGGGCTGTATCATAGGCATTTAGGCAACCATTAGTGAGCAAATCGAAGCTTATCTTAACTGAAAGTAATAAGAACAATAAAAATTGAAAGAAATAAAAGAAAAAGAAAAAGCTTAACCAAGGACAGGACAGCCTGGTAAAAAATAAATAAATTTTATTTATTAAATTTGTTTGCTGCCCATTTCACTGCAACGTAACTCTGGGCAGTTTACAACAAATTGCAAGTCATTAGAATCTGTATATTACCAATCATCTAGGCAATTCAACCAACCAATTATCAGCCATAGTTCTTTTACCTTTCTCTCCATTCCAACTATCATATGCACTAGATTGCCAACTATTAATTTAGAATCTGTATATTACCAATCTTCTAGGCAATTCAACCATCCAATATAATTTATATTTCTTTTACCATTTTGTCCACTCCAACTATCACATATTTCCTTTTTTGTAAATATTCCAGGAGACTTTGTGGTAGCAAAGTAGGGTATGAGTATTTCAAATAACAAAGAATGAATACTCAAAAGGAATTAAAGGCTCTAGATTTCTACAGAACTTCAAATAGAGTAAGTCATTTTAGAAGATTATGTAATCTAAGAAACTCTAAAAGCTGTCAGAAAGGATTTTCCCCAGAGTATTATTCAGGGATTAGAAATGACACCTGTATGTTTGTATAGAAAAACTTTGGATATATTGTTGTCAAAAATAGTAAAAAGCTACTATTTGGATATATTTAGTCTTAATAATGTTACTGTCTGACAAAACATTTTATATTTTTCTCCATTATGGTCCAGCACATTTTAAATATCCAGTGGCACTTCTAAAATTACTCAACAACTTGATGAAACCTACCTGTTACATTCTTTTTGTATTTAGACTTCTCAATTACTATATCAAAGCTATCAATGTGGCACATCTCATTTTTGTGCAAAATGGCAATTCTTGCTGATTCTGCTGGTAACCAGCACATCACATCACAATGATTTATAATAGGTAAAGGACTAGATAGCATCAAATCATCATCTTCTGGCTGAACTGCATAATGTGTGTTAAATACCTGATACGCAAAAAGAAAATCATACCAATAAGCTGGGATTCAAACATTTATTTTATACTTTTTAGAAATATCAGTGCAACTTTTGAACTTTATTCAAAAATATATGTCAATATATTAAACTTTTTATCCCAACTAGGGACACTGATTTATCTCAGGACTGTCTATCCATGAGATTAAAAAATGGTGTATCTACATTCAGCTCTAGCCAGCATGTCCGATGGGAATTATGGTTCAAATGCTTGAGAAAGCACCTGGTTACCAGCATCTGGTTTATATTGCTTGGCAGCAACTTTCCAAAAAATCCTTTCTAAACCTTTCTAAAATGCTGGGAGTTGAGCCTTTGATCTTCTTATAATCCACAGCTTCTAATACCTGACCCATCTTATTTGAATTGCAAACCTCCGTTCTGCATCATACATGACTTTTGAAACTTGTTCCCATTTGAAAAATGCAAACCTTACCATAAAGTTAGAAATACCATTCTTTGAACCTAGGCTACTATCTACAGGTGAAACCTTGATATACAAGATCTGCTACAGGCAGATTACCAATTTGTTAGAAAAATCTGAACATAATAATGTCTATTAGAACCCAAAAACTAATTTGACAAATTTCAAGTTCTTAGTTTTCTTTAGCAACTTGTTAAAGAAAGGCAAAGAATAAACACGGAGCAAACACAAATGCTTATTTTATTTACTCATTTAATAAGTCAGATCCAAAACTCTCAGGATGACATACAATGTAGCACAAAACAGTAAAACCATAATTTTGCTACTGTAACTGTCCTCAGTCTGTATTAGCTGAGATTAATTTTGTGGTTACATTTCACAAATGTTTTCCCAGAAAGAACAGCTCGATAGAAGCAGAAACAATCAGATTCAGAATGTTAGTCATGTGAAGGAAACATAAGAATTGAAATATTGCAGCCATTCTAAAATCCACCAAGACTGCCCTATGTCAAAGAACATTACAGTTGCAAATTACTTTGTTATAAGTCATCAAGCTCAAACCACTGCAGGTATCCATTATGTAGTAACCTTGAAAAATGGGCATCCATGTTTTGTATACACACCTCCAGTGAAGGAAAGTCTCCCTCGCCGCGAGTTGAATCTCTTAACTGTTAAGATGTTTTCCTTTCTGACCTCTTGAATTCTATTTCCTTGCCATTCTTATCTCTCTTGCTTTTTGCCTAGCTAGCCCTTCTGAAATAATTACAAATGGTTTTGTCTGCTTTGCTGCAATGCCACTAGGTCTCAACAGACACATTTCATCATAATAGAAGCCATACCTTTGGTGAAAAAGCAGTATCACTAGGACAAACAAGTATCCATTGTCCATCTGGTGAACACAAAGACAACTGTATACCACAGTTCTGAAACAATTTTTTGTATAAAATTTGGCTTAGATCAGTTGCTGCCAAGGTATAAAGTGAGCCTTCTTCAGTGCCCACCTAAATCAAAGAAGAGGAAAAAGTATGCAAAATACAATGAATTTCAGAGATGCTAATTACTTCATAAAAATTCAAAATAACAGACTGGGGATAAGCAAAAGCTCTACTCTACTACAGCCAATTTCTGGCAAGTTAGTATCTACAAAAATTGCTAAGCTGATTGGACCATAAGCTAATTCCATCAACTCTATAAAGCCTTGAATGTCAACCCCTGAACTACAAATAATATTTTTCTTACAGCTGACCAATAGGGTAACATTGTGGCAGCTAATTGGTGCCTGGCCTCCTTTCAGCATCCTTGTTAAAGTTTCTTTTCACGTCAAGAGGAATCAGGCATCTTTAAAACTTCCTGCATTGAGAAAGACACAATCCTAATCCTCCAAGCAACTATGGAGAATATAGGATGATCACTTTTGCCATTTAGGGAGAGGGGGAAATTCCAGGCTTTAAGAAGAGAAATGGAGTTCCAAGCAATGGGAAACTCCCCATGCTTCATGTCTAGAGGAAATGCTGCTAAACTGTGAAGTAAGAAAAAGGCGCTACTTCCCAAACTCCATGGATGCCCCAAGATGTTATGGCCACACAAAAGGGATGGTGCTGATTTCTGACTGACACAGCTGCCACAGGTAAACAGGCTACTTTTGTTTCTATAACTTTAAAATGTCCTATTTTATAAATATTTCGCAATCAGAAGAAAGCTTCCTTGAGGATGGCGATCAACTCTTTTAGTGTGCTACTTACCATTAAGAATGGATTATTCTTTATTGTGTAGGCTACCATACAGCATGATGTGGATAACACTGAAAAAGTAGAAAGCTCTTCCCCTGTAGTCCCATGCCAGAGTGTGATTGTCCCCTGAGTGTCTGCTGTAGCTGCCAGGTTAAATGCAGGAAATGTGATAATATTTACTGGTGGAAATTCCTGTTGGGGACTAGACCAAATCTGTTTACCCTGATAAAAGAAAAAAGAAAATTCATTCTATTTGATTAACATTTTTTAAAAAAACACATCTTCCTGTTAGTGCAATCATTATTGCAAGTTTATGTACCATGCATTCTTTTCAATCTGAAATACTTTTCCATGAAAAGATATCTAGTTTCTGTTCCAATACACTTGTTTGGTGAAAAACTGTATTTTTATTTTATTTAGCAAAAAATAATAATAATTTTTATCTTGTTGAAACTTGTTCACTTAATTTATTTCTCTATTAGATCATGATAATGAGTCAGACTTTTCCATTGTATTTCAAAGTCCTGAGCTGTGGTCAAAAATTCCTAAAAGACTTTAGTTCATTTCACATAAAAGAAGAACTTCCTTTGGATCGCAGTTGTGATGTCTATGCCCCCAAAGACCATTAAATCAGAGAATTTAAAAATTGCATTGTTGTGAAAACAGTCTTGGGAGAAAAAAGGGTCTAAATATCCAGATTTGTAATACTTTATTTCCTTTCACATGATTTTTTGTTATCTGCATCAGGTATGTCTTCATCAGCTATTTTTCATGTGCTGCATTCTTCAAGAAACAGCAGATTGTTTATATAGCTCGCACTACATCTTCAAAATAACATTCCACTTTCAGAACGTTATTGGAATGTTATTTAATGCTGTTTCTTGAATGTGTTAAATAGAGTGGGTCAGCTTTCTCTACTTGCATCTTAAAGCTGTTATGAAAGAACTTCATTTAACTTATCCTTTTACCCAGACCTTGGTGAGTCCTTTCTACCTCTTCATTTGGATCAAACGACTCCCTTGAGAGTAAATTTTCAATTTAGGGAAAAAGTAGTCACATGGTGCCAGAACTGGGGTAAGATAGTGAGCTCCAACTTTGCAATTGCCTTTTGGGTGGCTGATGGGATGTCAAGTTTAATGTTACCACCTTCCAGCAAAATTTATTTCTTGCTTCTGGATTCTGCTTAACTGTTTCAAAGTTTTGAATGTTACAGTTTAGCACTGAGTTGATAGTGGCGCCAGGTTCCAGGAAACCCATGTGAATAGCACTATCCAAGTCCCCAAAAACTGTAACCATGAGTTTTCCTGCCAAAGCCAGGGTTTACATTTTTTTTAAGCAAGTTAAATTTAGTGATGATATTCCCTGGATGGGTGAGTCATTTCTGGGACACAATAATGATCCTGAGTGTCATCAATTGTCACAAGGCAGTAAAGAAAGTCATCGTTATTCTCATAGCATGACTTACTGGCAAATTTCAACTCTTGACATTTTCATCTCTTCCATTAGCATACAAAGGATGCATCTTGCACAAATCTTGCAATTTGGAAGAGTAGCAACAATATGACAGAAATTTCCCTTTGATCTGCTGATTGTTCATCAACCACTCTTATCAGCCTTTCTTACCTGAAACTCATCAGTTGTCATAGATCATTCACCTTCTTCTTGATAACAAAATTCAGTTTTGCCTGATTCACTATCTTTAGATTTTTGATCCAGCAATGCACAATGCTCATTTTACCACCATTATCCCATAAACAGCCTATATTCAGTGGTGAAATTCAATTAAAGGGGTTCCTTTGGCAATCAAAAATTTAATCATCTATATTGTTTAAGTGCATTGATGAATATTCACTGTAGAATTCTGTTTCATGAACAATAAGAAGACAACCTTTAATCACAGTAACTTCCTGCCAATTGAAGTAAAAGAATAGATATATAAACAGTTCTCATTTTATGACAATTGGGATCCTAACTTCCACTGCTAAGTGGCATAGTTGTTAAGTGAGTCACACCCAATTTCACAATCATTTTTTGTCATGGACATTAAGCAAATCGCAGTTAAATAAATCTGCAGTCATTAAGTAAATCTAGATTTCCTCCATTGACTTTGCTTGTCAGAAGCTAGCTGAGATGGTGTAGAACATGTAGATGGTGATCACATGTTCTTTTTGTCTATAGAAGTTAAGGAACTGAATAGTATGTATGCATACTACAGATACATCCAAAAATGTTTCCTTTTGTTCTAGAATAGTTTTATGATCTATAAAACAATTGTAAACAGCATCTCTTCTGAGATCTCTGAGATTCTGCTAAAGAGCACTCATTTCTACAAGAATTATCTTCTGGTCTACACAGGCCAATATATTTTCTTTTAGAATTTAAGACTGCTGACTATGATTGATGTAACTGTACCTTTTCTTTCACAGCACTGATTATTCGCATTTCACTATATAAAATTGAATAGAGTATTTTACATTTTCTTTTCTGTTTTTTTAATCTTTTATTTTGTTTATTTTTAGAAGCTGGTTTACTTCTAAAGCAGGGATGGGGGAAAAATGGGCTGAATTCTCTATTCACATTATTTTAGGCTACATGGCCAGGAGGTGGAACTATAAAAATTATTTCTGCATTTGCTTTTTGACCTTTCAATCATCAGAAAGGAAGCACATTAGGGGTCAGGGGTAGACACCAGATGTGCCACTCCTGAAAGATAGGTGGTAGCAACAGGAAATTATCAAGCCACTATCCCAAAACAGGAAGTGGGACAAGAGAGTCATGATGCAGAGATCTTCTGGTAGAGGAGGCTTCAGACCTCCAACTTTCAACAAAGGGCTCAGTAATATGCATTAGGGTTTTTTAAAAAGTTTGTATGTACTACATTTTTTAAAGCTTTTATATATTTATTTAATTTGATATTGACTCCAAATGACTTTTGTCAGCTCACAATACACAAAAACAATCCTGAATAAAAACAGTACAATAGAGATAATCAAACACAATCAGATACAAAGAAAAAGACAAAACATCCCAGCATCAACTAACATCCAACCAAGGGGGCATTAACTACACTAGCCCAAAGCCTGGGAAAAAGCCAGGTCTTTATGGCTTTCTTCTGCAAATCTTTGAAGTTATTTACTCTACATGCTCCTTTTTCTTACCTCTTGGACATTCCATGCCCTGACTGTGCCATCAGAAGATACAGTACATATAGTGGAATTTACTTTTCCTGTTGCAAACGTATGCTCATTCTCTGATAGATAAGCCATTTCATATATCACCCCTGCAGCAACACAAGAGATCTTTGTTAAAGAGCAAAATATTGGGGCTTGAATATCTAGTTCAATGGCTCCAGAAGAACAGTTTCTTTCTGAAAACTAAACTATCAATCCCATGGCATTTTCACTTTGCATAATACACTGTACGTTTACAATCAACTATAAATATTAGCAGTTGGATCAGTTTTAAAATATTGGATTACAAATGAGTAGAAGTGCATAAAATACAAATTTAGAGCAGGGCTTTTCAACCTTTTCATCCATTCTACCACTTTTAGGATATGGCAATATCTGAGTACCACCAGTCGCCTAGCAAGATGTCAAAAACTTGATGACCAAAAAAAAAAAAAAAGGAAAAAAGTGATAAAGTACAGGTAGTCCTTGACTTACAACAGTTCGCTTAGTGACTGTTCGAAGTTACAATAGCACTGAAGAAAGTGCCCCCCAAGGCACAGCCGAGCAAGACACCTGCCTGCAGCGCTCTTCCTCCTGTTCGAGGTTTTCATTGTTGTGAGCATTTCTGTTGGGGATTGGCAGCGGGGGTGGGGTGGGGGTGTTTGGTTTTTATTCCCCCCCGTCTGCTGGGTGGTTGCAGCAGGTTTTGGTCACTTCACATGATGCTGGGACACTGTGACCATCATAAATATGAATCAGTTGCCAAGCATCTGAATGTAAATCACAAGACCCTGGAGATGCTGCAACATTCCAGCTGATCGGCGGTTCTTCTGGGCTCAGCAGAAGCGCCAGGATCAGCGCCGAGCTCCAGCTGGAGCCTGGCTCTGATCCTGGTGCTTCCACTGAGCTCTGACAGCCCTGAAGAAGCACTGATCCTGGCACTTCTGCTGAGCCCTGACAGCCCTGCAGCTTCAGCCATCTCTTGCTTAGGCTTGTGCGGTGCTGCCACTGATTCAGCTCATTCCCCTCCCCCGCTACTTTTCTAGGATGGTCACATACCAGCTGCCAGGTGCCAATGTACCACAGGTGGTACCCGTACCACTGGTTGAAAAGCCCTGACTTAGAGAACCTTTGCAATGTATTTGTTGGAATGGTCTGCAGTGGTGCAATTGCAACAGTGGAATTGCATCCACCAATGCAATTGATTTTTCTTCCCTCACTCAACTTCCTAAATAGAAAATTGATTCCAAGCCCTGTTAGGCCATTCCGGCCAGGGTAAAAGTGGATGATTTCATTAGGCTTTTTGAGCCAACAAATATTTGCATTCAGATTCAGAAACCATGACAGTAATGGAGGAGGTGAATTAGACCCATCTTGAGAAATTATATAGGTTTAGATTGTTTCTACACTTATATGAATGTATGAGGATGGACGGATGGATAGATGGATGGACGGATGGATATGGATTCAACAATTTCCCAGAAAACTGGTTTAAAATTCCCTGGAGGCCCAAAACCTATGGATTGGCAAGCTATTGATTGGGAAAATATTTGACAACTATGGTACATATACCAGGCATGTTTTCTCAGATTATGAATTCTTGCTTTCTAAAAATGCACACAGAGTTTTCTAGGACCCTGTGCACTTCCATTACTGCAGAACTGGAAGTTATTTTTCTGAATACAAACCATAAACATAACTATGGTATAATGCAAGTTGAGAATTAGAAATGATTGCAATATATTTTTTCTTCTAGAAAAGATTATTTTGATGGTTTATCACATTTCTCATACCATTGTGTCCTCTCATAGTTTTACATGTATAATCAACAGAAGGCTGTCCTGATGTCATCTTAGATTCAAGTTTTGAGCGATGAAGGTAGTACTTTTTCCAAGAGTGCATTCCTGGGATCACAGAAATATTGCAGAAAGCCCACTTTTTTAGACACATATTTCTATAAATATAAACAATTGCACTATTACTGAGAAATGCAAATTGCTTTCTCCAAATCTGCTTTACAAAATAGTAATTTTATTTTTTTAACAATCATCTTCTGAAAATGTGATGATTTATTAGATTAAAAAGAATGTTGGAAGGTTTATTTTAATGTCATTTCTGAATTCTTCAAATCTCAATTTGTAATAAGAAAATTAAAGTACTGTAAATACTGAGAGATATCATGAACTCAATAGTTACTAACAATTATAGAGCAATCACCTACATTTCTTAACAGTCTGTGGAATAAACAAATATGCAAGTATTTACAATAGGCACATTGTAAATTATTTAAACATTTATATTCTTCTTGAGCTTTAAAATCATAAGGCTGATTCACAACAATAAAATATAATTACATATTTAAGGAAATAAAAATAGCAAATATAAGCTGATTCTGGAGCTAGAATGAAATTTACATTTCTGATAAAATGAGAATTTCTTTGAACAAGACAGTCTTTATCAAATGCTGAAATGCTGTTAAACAGAAGACCAAGAAGGCCTTTTTCTTTTTTGCATCATCTGTATCTATTAAATGGAAGGGTCCTCAAATGATGGTCCTATATTTATATTTATATGAAATATAATTATGCCCTTGATACATCTGGTTCAGTTTTCCAATCCAGTGTTTCTCAACCTTGACAATTTTAAGGCATGTGGACTTCAACTCCCAGAATTCCACAGCCAGCAATGCTGGCTGTGGAATTCTGGGAGTTGAAGTCCACATGCCTTAAAATTGTCAAGGTTGAGAAACACTGTATTTTTCTAGACATTACCATGGAGTTTCCAGGCAGTGAAAGACCAATCAGGCCTGCTTAGTCTCAGTAGGTGGCAGCACCTGGCTAGCCTTTCTTATAAAAGGGAACTTTTAAGACTTAGTAAGCAAAAAGATATGATTATAGTACGGTACTTCCATGGCATTTACCAGGTACATCTATTAACTGATTTTTAAGACTGCACAGACGTTTTCTCAGACTGGAGGTCTCTCTAGTGTAGCATTCTGTTGATATAGAAACCAACTGGGTATTTCTCACTGAGCCTACGGATCTGGGCTACAAAAATCCAGGCAAGTATAAGATGGCCTTTTGCTGGTTTGAACTTTTGCAATTGAGATCCAGTAACACTACCGCTGGGAAAACCATAAGCAGGATGTGGCAAAAATAATAATTCACCCTCCCACTTAACAACAAGGACTAAATTGTTGGAAATAAGTGTATCTTCATCCAACAATCTGTATCCACTAACATCCATTCTCAGGTGAAATCCAGACTTTTCCACCATTTCTTGCTGCTCTCACCTCCAGAGAAAGGTGGTCTCTGCTGCTTCATTCCATGCCTAAAATGGGAAGGAAAGGAATGGCAGGTTTCAGAAGCAGCTGAACCAAAAGATATGATTTGATTTAACCATGATAGAATAAACCATAATGACATGGCTCATGTTTAATACTCAACTGCAATTCATTGTATACCTACTAAGTACAATAGCTGAACTAACCACAATGCTTGGGTTCATGCCACACACTGAACCCCAAACATGCCTAATATACTGTGTCAACCCATGCCTAATATACTGTGTCAACCCAGCCCCTCTGGTTTATAGTTCTGTGTGTCCTATAAACCCAAATGAGATTGAATAAATTCTGGTTTAGTGTGTCATGCAACATTAGCTATGGCTTAGTAAAATTTAGGAACTCAACCAGTGCTTGAAAAACTGCAAGATAGTCCCATACTGTGTTTACTCAAGGATCCAAGTCCATTTTATTCAATGTACACCTAATTCCCAGGAAGGCGCTACTTTAGGGAGAAATAAGAAAGCCTTATTGAATTTCAACCCTTAAAGAGTCCTACAAGTGGTATCAACTCAGCTGGTAAAGCCATTCCTGGCATCCAGTCAAGTGGGGCCAAATGCTTTACTGCCTATGAAAAGCTCCGAAGCCCTCAAGACAATAAAATGGAGGTCAAGCAGGTTCCCAAAGTGAGAAGTAGAGCTCCCCCGCCCCCGCAGCACGCAATGCTGAAGTACCCAAACTGGATCCAGCATGTAAACCAGGGGTAGTCAACCTTGGCTCTTTTATGACTCGTGGACTTCAACTCCCAGAATTCCTGAGCCAGCTTAGCTGGCTCAGGAATTCTGGGAGTTGAAGTCCACGAGTCATAAGAGAGCCAAGGTTGACTACCCCTGATGTAAACCAACAAAAATCGGATATGTCGTCACGGCCAGCTGAGTTCCCTAGAAAGGGTGAGACTTCCGGCTCCCTTCTTCCTCGCTTCTGCAGCGACGCGTTGGCCCGTCGTGTTGTGACGGCGCCGTCAAAGGCTCTTGCGGTGGAGAAAAGATCGCGCTGTCTTCTCCCCTCTATTAAACTAGTTGAAGACTTGTTTCGAAAATAACTATTCGGAAATCCCTTTCATTTTCCTTCGAGAATTTTAAGGTCCGTTTGGGACGTTTTCCCTCCCGCCTTGAAAAGGCAAGAGCACTCTTGTTGGGCAAACGAAGGAAAGGATCGAAGTTAGCGTGATCTATAGTAGCCTTCCGCAACCCGATCCGTGGATTGCAAATCTCATGCCCAACAGCCATTAGGGGACTTAGGCAGCTATAACGGTAGCTGGTTGGGGAAAACTGGTACTGAGCATGACTGAATCACCCCCGCGTATCAGTCAAGTACGCACCATCCCTGGTCTGCTGCGGAGTCTACACTGGGGAGCGGGTGTACCTTGTTCACTTGAGCTGCTCTGAGTAGATCCGGTACTTCCAAGTACGAGAAGAGATGAATAATGCAATCCACAGTCAGCGACTCGGCGCTCATCGTGCTTTCAGCGTCCTCACAACCGGCCTACGGAGACGTTTCTTTTTCCTCCACGCCCCAGCCGAATGCAGCTATGGAGCATTTCGTCGAGGCGGGATTAAAGTTTCGGATTGCCCCGTGACTTGCCTTTGAGCTGCCCGTCAAGAATCAGAGCGGCAGACTTAAAATATTGTTTGCACCAAGGAGACGTGGAGCGGAACTGATCTGCTCAGTTACTGTATATCATTGCTTAATAGTTCTTTTCAGGGAATTGAGATCACTTTTACAGGTACGTATTTCTAATACCAAAGAAACATAAACAGCGTTTATTGTAAAAATGAACCCAAAGTTATCCTGGAACTCTCCAAACATCTGGAGTCTATTGCTCCCACAATTTCAGATAACACGGCCTGGGAAAAGCAACTGCAATGCATCTGGAAGGTATCCAGGTTGAAGAATGCTACAGTACCATCTTTCCTAGTAATTTTTATAGAAAAATTGATGGATCTTACTTCTTTATAGACAATATATAGTTTATCAAGTTTTTTTTAACTGAAAGGCACTCAATCCCACAGCAAACTGGCTGAGAGAAGAAGAAAAGAGACTTTAGCTATGCTTTTGAACATAAGAATGAGGCGGTTCACACAGTGGGCTAACCCAGAGTTTAATTATGATTTTATTATAATTTGCTGGAATCAAGCAAAATGCTAGGCATAGTAAAACAATATATACAAGTTCTGAAAGTCTAACTTTCATTTGTTTCCAGTTTAAACCAATGGAGAAACATGGAATGTAAGCTTTATTGTATTTTGTATCATATGTGGATGGATGAGATCATGTCTCTAGACTAGATTTAATCAGTTATTGCCACCCAGAGGAGATGCTGGTATTTTCAAGAAAAAAAATTAATACATTATACTGTATACATTATATCAGTGGTGGCGAACCTATGGCACGGGTGCCAGAGGTGGCATTCAGAGCACTCTCTGTGGGCACGCACGCCGTCGTCCCAGTCCTAGGCCTTTAGCTGGGTTTTATAAAACCTTTTCACTTTAGGCCTCCGCCGCCGTGAACAAAAAAAAAGGTTCAATCAATCAGTCAATTTCAATTTCTCGCGGGGGAAAAAAAAAGATCTTGCAAAGTTGGAATTGATTGATTGAACTTTTTAGTCCCACCCAGTCTGCTGTTACCACCGCAGCCACGCCCACCCAATGGGCCACACTCACCAGGCACCCGACGATGCATAAGTGGGTTTTGGGTTGCAGTTTGGACACCCAGTCTCTAAAAGGTTCACCATCACTGCATTATACTATTGCTATTCATCAGTCAGTCTGCATGTTCTTAATATATTCTCCCAGTCACTACCAATGAGGACAATGTATTTTGCTAGGTGGTAGGGCAGCTCCATAAATTAAGACAGTACATATCAATATAAAAACAAGCATAAACCCCATAAATAAAATATATTGATATAATAAAGGTTGAGTCACACTTTGTAGCATTTCCTAACCTGGGCAACTTTTGAGTTGCAACTTCAGTTCCCAGAATTCTTAGCAACGGCCATGCTGGCTGGGGAATTCTGGCAGTTGAAGTCCATAGATCTTAAAGCCGCTTAGATTGAGAAACACTGCTCTACCCTAACAGCGGGGACAGGCCGTAAGGAATGGACCTTACTTTTGAGGCACTCACGCTTCTCTGGCGAGAGCAAATCCCTGCCCTATCCAAGCTCTTTTTAGACCGGCGCTTAGAAATTCTTGCAAACGTTCATACCCAGGCCTTTCGCTCAGGTGGGCTATCGTGCATCTGCAAGTAGGAATGAAGCTGCATCTGCCTTCTTGCTGAACGTGCTGCAACTTTTGCAGTCTGGAGGAGGACGCATCCGGTGTCCTCCACCCCCCACCAGCCACTATGTAAATATTTTGAGCGGAAGTTGGTGTTTTTCAAAGAGATCGGTTTCACCGCCGTTCACAACCCTGACCTCATCTGTTGAATTGCTGCAGGGGAGAAGTGGAAGCATCAACCCTAAAGAATAAAGCACAAGGGTCCCGAATACTGTTAGAGAATCGAAGGTATTCTCCACATTGTTGCAGATTCCGAGGTACATGCACTCCAAGTGCCTTCTCACAAACGGAAACAGGGCGCAGGTGAGAAGCGGAAGTGTTTTAACAGAGCCAGGAGGACTACCTCTCCTAAGTTTCACCTCCACTTCGGTCGGGCTTCCTCATAGGCGACCCTGATTTTTCCGGTTCCCTTCTTCGTGACTCTTCGTGGCTCAGTGGTAAAACTTGCAGGCACTCTGGGAAATGTAGTTTGTGTTAAGTTAGAGAGCGGCTGCGCCCCGCTAGATTTCTGTTCTGATCTATGTTTAGAAAGTAGCGGGCGTAACCTCCACAGGAAACCACGCCCTCATCCTTAGCAACAAGGCGTGGGCAGAAAAGAGGAATCTGCTGAGAGATTGCTTGTTGATTTACAATAGCTTCATTAGTTACGTTTCTTAGTAACTTAGTACGATTTTCTATTCTTTTTTCTTTTACTGTTGGTGAGGAGTATGGGGAGGACCATATTGGCTTGTGTTTGCAGGACGCTCTGAACCATGACAAGAACAAAGAGAGATTTTCTCCATGATGATCTGTCCCTAAGCTGGTCTGTCAGTTCTCCTGGTGCATTCATCACCACTGTAACTGAGTCCATCCTCTTTACTGCCAATGGTCCTCTTTCCTTTCCTTCCACCATTCCCAGCACTGGAGCCTTCTCCAGAGAACCAGGGCTTTACATAAAGTGTCCAAATTCAGGATAATTTGAGCCTGGTCATATGTGCCTCAAGTGAGAAATCTGGATTGATTTGTTCAGTAATGAATTGGTTTGTTTTCTTGGCTGTCCATGGTATTCTCGGGAATAGTTAGTGTGCAGTTCAGAGCATTCTGCAGGCTTGTAAGAGTCTGCAAAACTGATGAGTGAACACAGCCTAGGAAGAGAATTTTTAATTTACAAGAACACTTTGGGATACATTGAGTGGAGAAAGCGCACTAAGTTTCCTGTGGATTTCCATGGCAGTAAGTGCACTTGTTCCTGGACCTTTCCACTTCTTATCCAAGACCTGAACCACTCCATTACCATTTTCTAAGTGGCACGTTTATTTATTTCTAATGTAGATTTGTAAGGCCACCTAATTCATTGTAGACAATAGATGTCATACAATTAAAAACCAGTGAAAAACCTAAAAAACAAGCACAATAAACCTAAAAAAAATAAAGCTAAACATAACAGGGAGAAATTCACATGCACAGAGAGCCTGGTTCCATTCAGTTGTAGACCTCTGTTTCCCCAGATGGACTAAATTTTGAGTCCTGGGCAAATGAGGTTAAAAAGGTAGAAAGACTATATTGAATACAGAATACAGAGTTGGAAGAAACCTTGGAGGTCTTTTAGTCCAATCCCCCTGCCCAAGCAGAAGATTCTATACCTTTCCTGAAAAATGACTGCCGATCTCTTCTTAAAAACTTCCTGTGTTGAAACACCCACAATTTCTGAAAGTAAGCTGTTCCACTGATTAATTGTACTCACTGTCAGGAAATTTCTTCTTAATTCTAGGTTGGATCTTTGATAAGTTTCCATCCGTTACTTCATGTGTTGCCCTTAAGTGCTTTGGAGAATAGGTTGACCCACTCTTCTTTGTGACAGCCTCTCAAACATTGGAAGACTGCTATCCCTAGTCCTTCATTAGACTAGGCATACCCAGTTCCTGCAACCGTTCATTGTATGTTTTAGCTCCCAGACCCCTTGAAACCTTTTACAACTAGCATAATAGACAATACAGTATATTCAGAAACCAGCTCCACTAGAAAGTTAAATGTGATAGGAAATATACCATCTGTGCAATAGGAATGTACCACATCCAGATTAAATGGATCTGTTGCAGGAGAATAAACACTTTAACTGCTAATAGATTTATGTGAACACTGTGGAACAAATGTGAGTTGTCTGAAACTCTACAAAAGTTCCCTCCCTCCCTCCCTCCCTCCCTCCCTCTCTCTCTCTCTCTCTCTCTCTCTCTCTCTCTCTCTCACACACACACACACACACACACACACACATACACACAACACACTCATACACACACACACACACACACAAACCTACTGTACAAGATCAGATAGTTCACAGAAAATGTGGAATGGAAGAAGCAAAATTATAGAAAGAGATTATAAAATTATAACTTGGTTTTGGCTACAGGAAAGGCATTGACTGTCAGTGTAACAGAGTGTGTATGCAGGCATGGAATGCGCTGGATTAGATCCTGCATGGAGGAGTTTCTAAATCCTTCTCCTGTAACCCTAGTGCATCCTCTCCAAAATTCTAGGAAGCTACGTTGGTAGCTGCTGCCAGATACATGATGATGATGATGATGATGATGATGATGATGATGATGAGGTCAAAGTGAAAATGCTAAAAGCAAGTGAAGGACACAAGAGATGAAAAAGAAAAGAAGTGGACAATGATTTGCAATCTCAGTCCATTGCTATTCCAGCCAGGGCTTCTCAGACAAAACAGAAATCTCATACGCCTCATCAGAGATTTTTTTGATCTCCAATCACGATTTCTGTGGAATGAAGCTTTTTTTCTTTCCTAGCTTTCAGCCACCCATAAAGAAAGAGTCCCATGGGAACAAAGGCAAAGGTGGAAGCAAAAGTTGGAGCACCCTTATTCTTTAAAAGCCATTCTGAGAGAGAAAACTGGTTGAAATCTTAGCATTTGGATGGGTTTTTTGTGGTTTTCAGTTGCTCTGTCCTGCACCTGGACTGATAACTCACTTTTCTTTAACAATTAAATGAAACATTAAATTAAATTAAAGCCTTTGGAATAGGATTTCTCCCTCACTGATGATTAGGGGACTGGAGGCTAAAACATATAAGGAACGGTGGCTGGAATTGGGTATGTCTAGTTTAACGAAGAGAAGGACGAGGGGGGACATGATAGCAGTGTTCCAATATCTCAGGGGCTGCCACAAAGAAGAGGGAGTCAAGCTATTCTCCAAGGCGCCTGAAGGCAGGACAAGAAGCAACGGAATGGAATGGAAACTAATCAAAAAGAGAAGCAATCTAGAACTAAGGAGAAATTTCCTGACA